TAATAAGAAACTAGAAACCAGCCACTAGTCGTTTCTGGCAGCTGCCAGAGTTCGTGGCAGCTGCCACGGTCTTTCTCGCCGTTTCTGCTGTTTGCTCGGTAAAACTACACTGTTCTCAGTGGCGTGCGGTGGTGGTGTTTTTAAACTGATGAGGCAAAGTTCCCACAATTTTATTATTATTATTATTATTATTGCCAGTGGCAGCTGGGGATGCCACCGGAAGTGGCGCTGCGACCTGCCGCTGCCAGGATTTGCGCTTGCTCTCTCTCTCTTTTCTCAGGCAATAAGTAACTATGTGCATTGTCATGGTTTTGAGGTTTTAAGGTAGTAATGCTTCACTGTCTGCTGTGTCATGTTTAGAAACACCAATAGTGAAAAACAGCACAGTCATGAAATCATAGTTCACACTCAGACACCCACAACACAGAAACATTTTAACGTTATAAGACGTACTACATTTAATAATATACTTTTCAACACACTTTCTAACTTTACAACCTTATAAACAAACGGATTCAAAAATGCTGGTGGATTTGTTTAACCTCACGTGACTCACATTGCTTAGTCGTGAGAAACTGCTGAGATTTCTCAGTCGAAAAAACGCCCAGTCATGGTTAGTGTAAGCATGTGGAACTGCCTCAACATTTTCACTTCCCTTCTCGCTAGATCTAGTGACTCAAATAGGAAGGAGAACGTATAAAAATGAAGTGAGGCGGTCAGGGAAACCATAGCCACAGCGACCACTGTGAAGGCAATACAGGACGATAGACCTACTGCAAGAAAAACAACAGCACAAGTAAGACCATGTCAAAACTTCATTTATATCCGTTACAGGGCACATGGTGACATTTGATAACAAATATCTGTTGTTTTAGGAATGGAATCCACGAAAAGCAAACCAAGAGATGCCACTGGCAGGTAAAATGCTTTTTATTTTCATACAGCCGCGATATTTGAATGAAACCACATTAATTTCATCATAATAATTATGAATACTATTCAAGCCCGAAGTAAATCATACCAAAAATACGAAGCAGATGTGTAGCAATTGCAGATGTAACGTTAGTGGATGTTGCAGTGCTAGATATAGGCTCAATGAAGACAAGTCGAGTGGGTGATTCTTACCAGCATAAGCTTATCTGTTCAGTTAACAACTAATGAGGGATTGTGGCTTGTTTCCTCCACAGTGATCTGTCTGAGCAGATAAAAGCAGCCACCAAAGACATTCATGTCAGAGCTGAGAACACACAACTGATGCTCAACTACCAGAAAGGACAGATCACGCAAACACAGTACAAGGTAAACCTACAGAAAATCAATAAATGGTACTAGATGAACTATATATCAAACAATAACGGGACTTAAAGTAATGTTTTTAAGAAATGTTTTAGAACATTCAAAAATGAACAAACAAAAAGCACCAAAAGATCATGGAAGCACATGTAACATGGCAGTACTATGTAAGTACCTTAGGGTCCTAAATATACCATGGTAATATAGTAACAAATATAGTATTCAGTGCTATGGCTTATATCAAACTACCATAGTAATACCATCTAAGGGCTAATAACTGATTGATCTTCGATTATTTCTTTGATTATTAATCAATTTACTGGATAAAAATAGTAAACATTTAAACATTATATTTATAATTATATTATAAAAACATTTTATTTCCTATAACTTAGTGAGTTAAGAATGACGCTGAAAGTTCAGCTTTGATCAGAGGGATATATTACATTTGAAAATAAATTAAAACAGAAAAGTTATTTTAAATTGTAAGAATGTAATATTGGTGTGTTTTCCGTTTTGAACTTGACTTGTCAAAAAAATAAAAAATAAAAAAATAAATCTTACCAAGCCCAAACTTGGTACTTTTTATATTGAGGGGGAAAATATTTTGTACTATTGCTGAATATAATTTTTTGAGTTTCTTCTGTTGATCACAAAAGAATTACATTTATAACAATTAATAACAAAAGATATTTTGAATAATGTTGGTAACCAAACAGTTGGCTTCCATGCTACAGATTTGGCACAGCTTGAGGCTGAGTAAATGATGATACATTTTTCTCTTTTTTTAATGGGGGAGGGGACTATCCCTGAAGACGTCTGAAGTACAGCCACAGTCATTTTTTGAGTACTAAAAGCTATCTTTAACTATGTAAATGTATGTTTCCAGCTCCTGCTGTGTTCTCTGTATGAGATCTACCGAGCGCTCGAGGAAGAGCTGGACAGGAACGCCGATCATCCCGCAGTTCAGCCCATCTACTTCCCTCAGGAGCTGGCCAGACTGGAGTCTCTGGAGCTGGACCTGGAGCACTTCTTCGGACCCCACTGGAGGAAGAGAGTAACAGTGCCTGCCGCCACTCACAGATACACCCAGAGACTGAGAGAGGCGAGTCTGGGAACGATCTCTTTAAGGAAATGAAATTGCATTTACGTTCCAGTGATTCTCATTCTAACTCGGTGCTCTCGGTTCCCCTTTAGATTGGCAAGAACAGCCCGGATCTCCTGGTGGCACATGCATATACGCGCTATCTTGGTGATTTGTCAGGAGGACAAGTGCTGGGCAAAATTACCCAGAAATCTTTGGGACTGAGTGGCAACAAGGGAGTTTTGTTCTTCTCGTTTCCTGGAGTGACGAGCCCCAACAGATTCAAGCAGCTGTACAGGAGCAGAATGAACAGCATCGAGTTAACAGAGCAGCAGAGACGGGAAGTGCTTGACGAGGCCACCAGAGCTTTTGAGTTCAACATCGAGGTGAGCAATGACATCTTACACTCACATAAAAGAAATTCATACTTTTATGTAGCAAGGATGCATCCGTTTGATCAGAAGTCGCAGTAAAGACAGTTACATTACAAAAGATACACAGTTCAAATAAATGCTGTTCTTTTGAACTTTCTATTCATCAAATAATTCTGAAAAAACAAAATCCCAGTTTCCCAAAAAAATATGAACCGTTTTCAACATTAATAATAATGCAAACTGTTTCTTGAGCAGCAAATCAGCATATTAGAAGGATTTCATGTGACTCTGAAGACTGGAGTAATGATGCTGAAAATTCAGCTTTGAAATCACAGGAATAAATTACATTTTAAATATATATTCAAATAGAAAAGTTATTTTAAATGGTAAGAATATGTACAGTATTAGTTTTTACTGTATTTTTGATCAAATAAATACAGCCTTGGTAAACTCGACTTGTCAAAAACTAATTTTTTTTTCTTACAAACCCCAAATTTTTGACATGTATAGAAGAGGTGAGACTTTAAAGGTTGACATAGTTTGTATTTGTCATTTCAAACAGGTTTTTGATGATCTTCAGAAAATGCTGAGCATCACAGGGGAAGCTTCAAGTGAGTTTCAAGAAATACAAATCATTAAATGCTTTGAAACAGTAAATATACAAGATAATGATACTATTTTGCTTTTGTTTAGGTGACAAAGGAAATGACGCTGCAACCAAAACGGAGTCAAAAACCTTCTCCAGCTCTCCAGTGCTACAGTTCGCATTGGGTGTGGGAATCACTTTGGCAACTGTTGGAATGGGAGTTTATGCTTTTTAATTCATAACATTTTCGACCATTTTTTAACGTCTTTATTCTATGACGACAAGGTCAAATCTACAGGCTGATCTTTAACAAACAATCATGGATATTATAAAACATGCACCCAGTAATAAATCAGGTGCATCAAGTAATTTTTTATTTTTTTTTTTAAGTGAATTTTCAAATAGTTTTATAGAAAAGTATCATGTTAACACTCACCTTTTTAAAATGCTCATTTACCTTTGTAACTGCTTTCGATGTATTTCTGTGAAATGCAATAAAGCTATTTTTTACGTTCAACACTGATTTGTCTTTTTTGCTAAGAGACACAAAAATGATTTCTTAAATGCTTTATTATATGCTTTATTATGTTTCCATTCAAAACATGACCATATCTTTACTTTGCCACAGACCTGACAGTCAAATTAGATTTTCCACTGAAAAACCACATTAAGACAGTAAAGCATACCGTCACAATGGTAACATACTCAATTCATTCCAAGCTTTGACAGAGCAAGATGAGAATCATTTCTCAGCAAACAGTAAGAAGGATAAACAGGACATTTCTCCAGCAATAAAGTGTCCAAACCACTATGTACAATAAATCTGAATTGTGTATCATTTTTCATCTGCCCATCAGCTCTCGGGTTCTGCTGACAAACACGATCACACAACATGTGTTCACTTGACCCTGTAAAGAACCTTCCTCTGCATGCGGTGCTGCAGTTCACCCCTCCTCATCATCAGATGAAGGACTTTGTGAATGGCGTGTTCTGGATATTTCTGTTCAGAGAAGAGGAGGAAAGCATTTTATTGACGATGTAATCACACATATACACAATGTATCAACTAAAACAGTGATTTGAGGAGTTCGCCAGGCTGTGGCCAGCTCCCGGAGCTTTAACTCGCCTGTTTGGTGAAGTCCTGTATGATGCTGTGCTCAGACACCTGGGAGCCGATGGCGAAGCGTCTCTTCAGCTGCTTTTCTATGCGAGAGATCATCTCCTGATCCGCCGGAGTGGTAAATCCTTCAACACCTACAAACATACAGCACTGCTACATCAGACTCTCCACAGACATTTACACAGGCTAGAAAGTGCTGGGCTGGTTCTCTATGATGTACTGAACATTGTTGCTACAAATTTCAGAGTTTTAAATGTGGCTTGTAGTCATTTTTGCTGGCTAACATAATTGAGGATTTGTCAACTTGGGAGAATGATTCGAGATAAGCTGG